CTTACTTTGCCGTCCACAGTGAAGTCATACAACACAACATACACATATATACACACAAATACACATATATACCACAGGAGTGACTGAAGTATGATTATAAAATGTAAGTATATAAATATCTATGAACGTAAACAATATATAAAACTGATTTAAGTTATGAAACAGATGTAAACAATGTACAGTGGTTCTTAAATTGTGCTTATTATGCAAAAAGTGCCTAGTGCAACTGGCTTATGTGCAAAAAATTGTGCAAACTGGGATGGAGAATGTAGTGTTGTACTGAGCAGAAAAAGAGACTGTTATGTGCATTGGTTATATGTTTAGAAGTCTGATAGCTGATGGGAAGAAAGAGTTCTTGAGTCTGGCAGTCCTGCATCTCACACTCCTATACCTCCGCCCTGAGGGTAGGAGTGTGAATAATCTATGTTGTGGGTGAATGGGGTCTTTCAGGATTGAGGCAGTTCTCTTGTGGACTCTGTGATGGTAGATAGTCTGCAGAGAAGGCAGTGGGGACCTGATGATCTTCTCTGCAGTCCTCACCACTCACTGCAGACGTTTGCGGTCCTTTACAGCAGGGGTTCCCAAACTTTTCAGCCCGCGACCCCCAAAATAACAATGCCAGTGACTCGCGACCCCCAATATCCTCTAAGGTGATTATAAATACAGAAACCTTGCATGCAATGACGCAGACACACCAATTAAACTTGTATCAGTGCTTAAAATGTGCCAGAAAGTATAAGCTGATGTTATAAAATCAAAATGCATCTGACGGTATTGCTGCCTTTAATATAATGTAATTACCCCAGGGGTCGCAATCCAATAGAACTAGTAACTATAAGCTACTATAGTAACTATACAGTATATAGTAACTATAAACGACTATTTTTATTTTCAGTATAGTTATGGATAAAATATGTTAATTCTTATGGTTTAATAAAAATAAATCGAATTTTGGAAATCACCAGGCGACCCCCCCTTCATTGCCCCGCGACCCCTTGGGGGGTCCCGACCCCCACTTTGGGAACCACTGCTTTACAGTAGTGTTGCCATACCATACAGTAATTAAATGTTCAAAATACTTCATTCTGTGTGATTAATCAGCTGTTTAAGATCCTCATGGGGACCAAAAAAAAGTCCCCACAACATCAAATGTATTACTATTAACCTCATATTAAACTTATTGTGGAAGTCAGCTCTCTTCTGTAATTGTTTACTTCCGACTGAATTGTGTTTGTGGGGAAATGGCCAGGAATCAGGAATAATAAACGGCAACAAATGGTCAAATTACACTTAAAATTATTTTTTATTTTGCTTGTTTAAACTACTTATTTAAAATGAGCTAAAACAACACAATTCTTGAGATTTCATTGGGAAAATTTATATTTTTTATTTTCAATCAACATAAATTTGTTAAAAGTGTTAAGTTAACTTAATCAATTTGTGTTGGGACAGCATGGATGAATTGTGTGGAACCCTGCATTTTTAACAGTGTACTTGCTGTACAAACAAGTGGTTTTATGACTAGACATGGAAAAATCTAAATAATATAATAACAAAATACCAATTTGCAACATTAATAAGCAGCATAACAAGCTTTTTCATCTTTATAAATCAATGGAAGTGAATGAGAACGGAAGTCTCGAGCCAATAATGATATATATAATAACATGAAGGAATAAGGTCAATACTTGAGGGGTCATTTGGTCCCCACAACATGATTATTACCAGGACCACACACACACACACACACACACACACACTCATGAGTCATCTGATCTCATGAAAACAGCAAAACACCATTACTTTATATCTTGACAACTTTCCTGTTGTGGCAACAGCCTCAATACTTAAATCCTAATGGATTAACCACATATTAAAGTTCCTATATCTCATTTTTTGAAGCTTTATGAGCTCAAACCACAAAATCAGATAATTTATAACAAGGTCTGACATCTGCTGAAAAAACTAATTCACATTACATAACCAGCATTACATAAAACAAACGCAATAAATGTAATAACTTTAAGATTAACCATTCTAATTGGATGCGTTATTATGTGGTAAAATAAAATAACAATGGTGATTGTTAAATTGGAGATGAGTTATCATTGAATCATACGTTTTTTTATGTTACTTTCGGATCAAACGTCTCAAATTGGTGTCTGCATTAAAGTAAATTTACAAAAGTGATTCATCATTATGTACCAAGAAGTGAAGTGATATCATTATTTATATTTATATAAAATTAACTAATATACTAATACAAATACATGTGTGGCCGGCATGGTGGCTCTGTGGTTAGCACTGTCTGTTACCTCACAGCAAGAAGGTTGATGGTTCGAGTCCCGGCTGAGCCATTTTTTGTGTGGAGTTTGAATTGCCAGTAGTTTATATGTGTGAATGTGAGTGTGCATGGGTGCATGGGTTGCGGATGAAAGGGCATCTGCTGTGTAAAACAAACTGGATAAGTTGGCGGTTCATTACACTGTGATGACCCCTAATAAATAAAGGGAATAAGCTGAAAGAATATGAATGAAATACATGTGTATGTGTTTATATCCACTATATCGATTGTTTTGTCTAGAACTCTACAAAATTTTAAATATAAATGTAGTCAATTAGACAATTAAAAAAATAATAAAATACCAAAAATGGTGGATTTTTTTTCTTCATTTTTATATTTGCTTTAGACAACCAATGTTTTACATTTAGAAGAGCGGATCAAGAATAACCCAAATCACACACACACACACACACACACACACACACAAAATATTTATCATTCGTACAAGTTGTCTTTTTCTGGAGAAAAAAAAGATCTAAATGAAAAATAAGCACTAAACGAAAATTTAAATTTTTTTGAAGAAATGTCATCAGACCTTTATAAAAAAAATATTAACATTTTACCCAAATTTATACCTAATAAATGCAGTAAAGTCAATGGGCCCTATCATACACCCGGCGCAATGTGGCGCAAGGCGCGACGCAATTTTTGTATGCTTGTTGCAGCTTGGCGCAAGAGTTGTTTTGACGTTTTGCAGCATGCTGTTTAAATAGCAAATGCATTTGTGCTCATATGTGCGCCCATAGGCGTTCTGTACACAATACAGTTTCAGTTAGTTCTAGTTTTTGAAAAACTCTTTATTTGTTTTTATTTTTATTTCAGTTAATAAACAATTATTTTACATTTTAGTTTTCGTTTTTTCGATCGTTTTCGTTAACTATAATAACCTTGCTGAAAATGAGGTAAGTAAAAAAATATTGCTTCAGTCGGCACAATAGCCTAGTGGTTAGCACGCCGACATATGGTGTAATAGCACTTCAGGGCGTCGCGAGTTCAAATCCTGGCTTGTTGACATTTCCCTACCCCCTCTCTCTCTCTCTCCCAATTCACTTCCTGTCTCAATACTGTCCTATCTAATAATAAAGGCCAAAAATAAATCTTTAAAAAATATATATATATATTGCTTCAAAGCAAAAACTAGCTTATTTTGTTTGTTTTGTGTCCCCCATTGGCAGATTATTTTGCTTGTTTTAGGGAAAAAAACTCACTTAATTTTGAAATAATACTTCTTCTCTTGCTTCTTGTTACAATTTTTTAGGTATTTAGACTAAAAACAAGACAAAAACTAAAAAATTTTGCAGTGCAGTACTTACATTTAATCATTTAGCAGACACTTTATACAGTATATTACACAGTATCTCCATTTCATTCAGTATTACTGAGTGACAGCATGCAAGTGTTTGATATATTGTTGAGACTCAGTGAACTCTGT